TGCATTGAGCCAATCAGAAGGCAGCAGTGATGTAATTAACTCAGGGTGTATTATTAATCCCCCACACGCGCTAATCTATATTATTTATACAAGTCACAGAGCTCTGCGCCGCGAGTCGCTCGCCGCAGGAACGTTTTACTTAAATCTCAAAAAATATATTCAAGACACTGATTGACTTTAATATGAAACAAAAGGAATTTGATCAGATCTGAAATCCTTTTTTAAATTAAGATTTTTCTTCTCTTTGGATCATTCGTTGAAAAATCACCTTGATTTATTTCATCGGTTGGGTTTAAAAAAACATCTTTTAAATATGTGTAATTAAAGAGAAATGAAGTTCCATTCAGGCTGATCAGTTCTATGAATAAAGCTTCTACCTGCTGGACAACACGCAAACACAACGGCCGTGAATCGCAAACATCGTGTCGCACTTTGGCTGATTTACCGACTCATTCTGAGAAAAGGGTTTGGAGGAAACGGAAAAAGTGTTTCAACGCCGGCACTCGTACAAAACACACTCCAAATAACAAAATAAAACTCCTGTTACTCCCATCTTGCTCATATACACAAGTGTGTGTGTGTGTGTGTGTGTGTGTGTGTGTTTCCCTCTACTGGCGGATTACAGACGTAGTCGAAGCGCTGACGGAGTCGTGCAGTTTGCAGGTTTTTTTCAGTTGACAATTTAAACTTTATGGTAAAACTAACAGAGTTGGTTAGTTGGTTAGTTAGTTAGTTAGTGGTTTCCCCGACATCGTGTTCAAAGTGAGAAGAATGACGCGGGCGACGCCGAGCGGACGCTCACTTCAACCCAGACCGCAGGCGGAGCTGCCGAGGCGGGTGGAGTAGACGTAGCATCTCCAACCGACCTTTAACTGACTCTGCATTTCCCCCCCAAACGTTCTCTTCTCTGTAACCGGGTTTGAGAGCAGAGCTCCACGCGTGTTAAAAGCATCACCGCAGCAACAAGTCATCACCCGTTTGTCTGATTGCGTGTGAATGCATCACGAAGCCTGTTTGAGGGAATCAGCTGGAGGTCATTTCAGGTCATCCTGCTACACACACACACACACACACACACACGCTTTTCTATTTTGGTCATTTAAATGTAATTTACTGTAAATAAATGTGAGATTATGAAATAAGGGCGATCTTCAGTACACGGGAGATGTTTTTAATGTAAGAGAACATTTTATATTAAGTGTTAAAATATGGAAACTATTTTCTTATTCTTGTACTTTTAAATTCTATTGAGAGGAAACGGAGCGCGGTGGTGCGTGTGTGCGTGTGTGTGTGTGTGTGTGTGTGAGTGTGCGTGTGTGCGTGTGTGTGTGTGTGTGTGTGTGTGTGTGCGTGCGTGTGTGTGTGTGTGTGGTAGGTCGTTGCTGAATGCGTCCACATGCGCACCGCGGTCTCTGAGTTCCGCATGCGTCTCGCGTCTCTCGTCTCTCGTCTCTCGTCTGTTTTCTAACAGCATCAAGTGCATTTTAAAATGATCGCATGACTAAATGATCCCCAAACTAAACGCTGCCGCGTCCTTCTGACGCGCAGCATCGTTGTATGAACCGATCATACGTGTGTTCCTGCCGACTCACGCTGGGTTTGATGCTTCTGAAGGAAAGAATAATAAAACATGGATTACTGGGCGAACCGGACCGGACATGTGCACCATCATGTACGAAATAAAGTAATAATAATGTCTCTAGCAGGTTCATTTGGCCCCCAGCGAAGCAGTGAGACGTGTAGCTTAGCTTAGCATAAGACGCTCAGCTCCTCCCCTAGTTTGCTGAATAAAAACTATATTGTAAAAGAACATAAAAGGTTCTTGTTGAAGTCGTTCGTTACCTCCTGAGCCACCGTCTGTAATAGAAAGCTGCACATGTCGTTGAGGTGGAGCGACTGTGGACATTTCTGTCCTGTCTTAATGTCTCTCTGTCCAAACCTCCACTCGTCTTTATCAGCTCGCCCCGCTAGCACTTTTTGACTGAAGTAGGCAAGTGCCCCCCCCCCCCCGCTTTCAGTCTCCATGCTAAGCTAGGCTAATCGTTTCGGTACATGAAGGACTCGCTCAATGTGCAGCCGTTTCTCCTCAAGAAAACGCAAAGACGTTCTACTAATCTGCTTCTTCAATTAGGTTTTAAAGGAACACTTGTTTCCTCCCAGGTTACAATCACAGTGTTAAATACCTTAAAACTGTGAAGGACCAAAGAAGCGATAAAAGGTATAAAACGGTAGAATCACTTGGTTTTCTTAACATGACAGGTTTGCTAAATAAAATAAGTAGCTTGTCATGTCGTTGTTTCATGGATATACATTTTAAATTCTCTCTTGATGAAGCTCCTCTCCACACTTTGCTCCGTGCTGCTCCTCCCTGCGGCGTAGAAGGTGAAGGTCACGGGTTCAGTGTGGTCGGAGAACCACAGGGAGGCTAAATGGATCCCCTGAGACTCTGAGCTGCACCGACTCAGCAGAAAACAGCCGGTGCTGCCTTCAATGTCACATTGCTCTTGATTGTGTCTGCGGCCCATTTGGTGATGATGGTGGAGGTGGTGGTGGAGGTGGTGGTGGTGGTGGTGGTGGTGGAGGTGGCGGTTCGTGTGCCTGAGCACAAAGTGAAGGTGTCTCCTCAGACTGTACAAGCGTTTAGAAAACAAAGGAAGTGCCTTTTTTGAGCAAGAACGTTCTGAACACTGCTGGTTTCTATCTGTAACTAAACTGTGAGTCATTTAAAGATCAAAAAATAAACATTAAAAAGCCCCACGTGTGATTTTATTTCCTTTTTTCTTTCATGCGAACCGTTTTCCTGGTTTCATTCTCTCCCTTAGTGTCTAACGGCGGTCCGATGACGAAATCTGATGTTTCTGCTGCATTTGTCGTTTGTAGAGCGGAGAGCAGGTTGTGCATCAATTAGTCAACTTCCATTACCACTTTTTACGAGGTTCAGTTCGTCTGTTGAGTTCTGATGAACAACATTATTCATTTAAACTAAAGTAGTTTATTGAGTAGCTGGTGTGAGTTTATCATATGAACTCCACAACCAGTCAAATGAGTTTACTAATGATTGATATGGGGGATTATTAAGTGTCTCCAAGTGAGCTGTGCTGTTTCTGTTACGCCTCTCTGAAATATTAAAAACGTAAAATGAGTCATTTTAGTGTTTTGCTTTCAGAATGATGAAGAACGGAAGATTATTCAGTTATCGGGTTGGTGTCACGTTTCCAGCTCCGGAATTAATAACAATTCGACACAAACTCACGAGGTCTCTGCTCCTTCGGGGCCTGAAACCCAATATGTGGGAAAAAGAAAAAACAAACTATGGAGACCACCTCGCGGTGGAACCTCACCGGCCTCACGTGGGAGAAGTTCCTCCTTCAGGTTTAGGTAACAAATCCACTGAAAGCGAGCACCAGATGTGAGGCTCTGCAGAGGGAGGAAGGGTCTTAAACCTGAAGCCTCTCTGCCGACCATCAGGGGGCGACTCCTCGGGGCGACTAGAAACCAAACGACAACTTCGAGCTGCCGTCTTGTTCCTTTGACCCGCGGCGTCACCCGGCCGGTCCGGAGAGAGAAGGTCACCTCCTCATGGACCTCACTTTGCAGGACCGGACCTCCTGGTTCACTCGGACCTCCTCAGCGGGGACCGTGGGGTTAAAGTTCATACCCGTCTCCCTCCCAAAAAGAGAAAGCAGGAGGCGCCTAAGCTGATTACGGCAGCAGCGTAGTGGAACAGAAATGCGATCGGGCCGAGCGGAGGTGATCAGCTGAACCAAAGCACGCCGCTGTTTGTGCAGCCGAAGGCCAACAGAGCCCGGTTTCATGGTTGGAGGAAACGAGGATGTGGGAAGAGAAACGCGGCGCTCACGGTGTTCACGTGGAAGTTCTCTCGCCTCAGTTTAAAATCCTTCAACCGGTTGTGAAACGTCTTCCTGACGTGTGAACGTTTCTTTTGTTCAGATCATTTATTTGCTTGTTTCAGGCAGTTTTGCACAAAACTCACCTGGTTCTTGCGCTTGATGACAAAGCCGTGACATCAGCGAGCACCGTTCACGCGCCGGAGCGCCAGCGCGGGTCGAGGACTCGTGTCCATGCGGATCGAACCCTTGACTGAAGGACGAGCTGCTCTCTGCTGAGCCGCTGTGACATAATCCTCTTAACCGGGATCTGTGACCAAAGGTCAGAGTGAATAACTTGAACTGTCTTTGTACTTTTGACCCATTGACTTGCCTTTCTTTGTCCATATTTTACAACCTTGTTATGCTGTTACACTTGTGTGTACTTAATCATTTTAACTAAGAGACAACTGAAGCCTGGGCCCTAATTGGTCGGCAGGCGGCCAATGAGACTTTATGTTATCGGGGCGCCATGGAGCTTCGGTCAGCCTCCATCTGAAATATTTATAATGAAGAGAAAACTTTTTATACACCGATCAAAAGTTTTGCAGAATAAGTCCTTAATAACAGAACATCTCTCTGTGATGGAAACATGTTTCATTGAGTGAACAAGTTTATAAATTGCAAACGCTGAGATGTGGTCGTGATAAAGAACTGAGCCGCAGTGTCTCACGCTGAGAAGATGCTCGTCTCTGGCTGTAGAGACACGACCAGTTGGTGTGGAGGCCACTTGCAGGTAGAAGAACCCGCCTGGTGGCGGAGGAGGAAGGTCCTTGGCCGTCTACTGAACACAAAGCTGTTTGTGACGCCGGTGATCTCAGTGCACGGATCCTTTATTCCAGATGTGAACGTCCAGACGGGTAACCTGCCGGAGCACCAGTGGGAACATCTCATCTGCGGCGCTGCAGCAGGGAGATGGTCCAAATGCAGAGGGAGCGTCCCGCCGTCCCACTACTGAGAGTCCGTATGGAGGGTTTGTGTAATATATATATATATATATATATATATACATAGATGTAGCTTCCTCTGGTGACCCTCTTGTTCAGCGGCACATTGCTAAGAATTGTGGGTAATTCCCATGGACGAAAGATGCTCAGAAAGACGTCACACAGGTTCAATCTAGTGCTTTGCATTTAATTTAAGTTTAAAAAAGCACCACTTGAGGTATTTGATGCAACAAGGGCATTTTGTTGGCTTCTTACACACAGAGATTCTAATTATTTTGCCGATTCACCATAAAGGTTGTGAAACAATTACAACAAATGTACAAAAAAAACATACATCACGCCGTGTGTCTTATGATGCTTCATTCACTAAATGACGTTTGCTCAGCTTGGCTCCACAGTTGAGATCCGAGGGGATGACAGAGGCTCATCATCGAGGACGCCGCGCTCAGGATGCAAATAACGCCGGCTGTTGGCGTCCAGCGAGCTTCCCTCCACAACAACTTATGAATGAAGGGTTCATCTCTCTGTTTGTGCATATTTCACATCCTTATATACAGACGTGCACATCTGGTTCATCACCTTATCGGGTGGGTTAGTGGACTGAAGTGATGTGGGGAAGAATAAAGAGAAAATCTACACCTTTGTGAGGATAAAAGCACCATCAGGTGTTCTGCGATCAAACGACCCCCTCTAGTGGTCATGAGGACACACGGCAGCCGTAGAGGTCAAGACCGGAAACGTTTACAGACCATCTCCCAACATTTATTCAAAGCATTTAGGTTCTTCTGTACAATGAGCGAGACAACAAGCCGCTGGTGTTCCCTTTGGCACCACCCTCCACCTCCACCTGTCACACCTGATAGAACCGCTGTGGTGTAAGTTGTGTGTGTCCCAGGTGGACACGGTGGGACTCTGGGTGTCTCATCGCTCCTGGAGGTAGTGGATGAGGACCTTCTCTGACCTCACAATGTGTCTGCGTTTACTGATGTCCGGGGCCTGCAGCTTTAGGGTTCCTGCAGACACACACACACACACACACACACACACATGACAAAAACAACTCTGCCAGGCAAAAAGAGCTCAGCGTTTGCTGCAGCGGCCGTGACCTTCGTACCTCTGAGCAGCGCGTACCAGCCCTGCAGACCCTGCGTCAGGACGCCGCGGTCGTCCTCCGACACGAACCTCCTGCCATCTGGGGTCAAACACAGCAGAAGACACGGTTGCACGGACATGCTGCTGTGCTGTTTAGCGGGCAGACATGGTGATTTACTGCAGATCTGTAGGAGGAACCTGTTTTAATGCCTTTAGTGGCGGACATGATTTTCTAAGGGTTTAATGTGTGCGTCTGTGTAGCCTGCAGACCTTCAACTAGTCACAGTAAACCACAAAGTCCACGACGGTGCATTGGAGCCATTGCAGGTCAACAAATAAATGATCAGTCAGGGAAAAGAATTTGTGAGATTAAAGTCATACAATTTAAGATTTAAGTTGCAAAATAAGATAATTGCTCTACGTGTATTTAGTCGCAACGCATTAACATTTTATTATATTTTTACCAACAATGGCCTCAGGAGCCGTATATTAAAACACCCAATGCACAAGCTCCTCTCTCACGCTCCTTTTCTACAGTCGTCCACGTTTCATTAATGCACATGACTAATTATCTTCTCCCGTAGCAGGTCTCCGTAGGTCATAGTTCCTTCTGTACCCTGGTCCTGACACCTGCTGCTGCCACCACCGTGATGGTGGTTCTATCTGATGCCGGTTCTATGCGATGGCGTTTCTATGCGATGGCGTTTCTATGCGATGGCGGTTCTATGCGATGGCGGTTCTATCTGATGGCGGTTCTATCTGATGGCGTTTCTATCTGATGGTGGTTCTATCTGATGGTGGTTCTATGTGATGGCGGTTCTATGTGATGGCGGTTCTATGTGATGGTGGTTCTATCTGATGGTGGTTCTATCTGATGGCGGTTCTATGCGATGGCGGTTCTATGCGATGGCGGTTCTATGCGATGGCGTTTCTATCTGATGGTGTTTCTATGCGATGGTGTTTCTATGCGATGGTGGTTCTATCTGATGGTGGTTCTATCTGATGGTGGTTCTATGTGATGGTGGTTCTATGCGATGGTGTTTCTATGCGATGGTGTTTCTATGCGATGGTGGTTCTATCTGATGGTGGTTCTATCTGATGGTGGTTCTATGTGATGGCGGTTCTATGTGATCCGCTCGGCCCGATGTCGGAGAAACGTGTACAAAGTGACGAGAAAGATGAAGCATCTGATCTGAACACGTGACGTCAGCACCGGTCGGCTGAGGGGTCAAACTCACGTTTTCCCTTCAAGTACATCATGGACTGAGGACCCCAGTGGACGTTGAGCTGAGGGGAGAGAGGACAACGTCTGCTCTGCTGAGCGTGACACAGAAAGTCAGCGGAGGAGAACAGCAGCAGCTGGTGAGTTTTACCTTCTGTGGACGACAGGACTCAACCAACAGGGAGAGGACGAGGGCGACGGTCCACCCAACCAGGGCCGTGATCTTCTGCAACAAGAGCATGCAAACAGGTGGGATGAGCTCCGCTTGGTTCGGTAGTTTAACGGTAATGTGTATATATATATATATATATACCACACAATATATATATATACACTAAGAAAACATGCGGCTGGAAAGGTGAAAAAGCTCATTTAAAAGCCACATGTGGGTTTTTTTTGTCAGTTGAATAAATTAAATTGAATGAATTACTAATTAATGCTGCGTTTACCAGCGTCTGAGTAAATGTACACAGAGAAACACCGACCCTCGTGCACATGAACACGATGTGTGAAGAATAGAAAGTTGTGGTGAAACACGAGCGCTTTGCGACATGAAGGAACACAGAGCTTCAGATCTGCAGCCTAAATAATCAGCTCTAACGACAATGTGTCACTTAGAGTCTATATTAACAAACTAGTGTCAACTTGCATTGTTCAAATTGTCCATTTAAATTTGACTTTGTGAAACACATCGGTATTCTGTTGCTGAGTGTCCCACCAGTTTGCAACACTTTGTTTCTGATTATGAATCAATAAAGAAATTGATTAGTAAAATACTTGAGCAGTTGTATCTATATGGAAACAAATTGTAAACCAAAAATATGATATATATCAGTATGGCTGTTAACACTGAGTCAAATGAAAGCTAACTGTAAACTGTACAGTTGCATCATGAGTATTTACTTGACTATGATTCTACACTTCAACATTTAGACAAATCAATTAATTCATATTTTAATTAGACTTCATATTTTACAGCCAAACTAATTTACACAAACTGAGTTCGACGAGTTTTCAAAGAGCAAAAGTCTCCACTCACCATATCTGCCGCAGCGGGAGCAGCGTGTGGTTCGGAGCCCAGTTCCCGCCTGCTTTTATCCGCGATGGCAACCGGTTCGATTCTGCTCCCCATCAGGAGCGACAGGACTCCTGTTTACTGGAGGCTCCGGAAAACAGCAGAAAAACACGGGCTGACGTCAGGGCCGTGATCTGCAGCGAGGAACATCAATAGCAGGGCCGCTGTGCCGGGCCCCGCGTCCCACCGAGCAACGGCATCAGTAAAGTATTTCACGGGGATGTTTTTATTTCCAATAGAGGATTTCTCGGTATCACAAATTAACCTCATTTGTGAAAGCTCTTACAATGAAGCATCACTGATGTGATTCTCTTCACTCCACAGCCTCCACAATCCAATCGTGTACCTTAATTAAGTGGATTGAGTGCCGGGGGCTCTACACGGATGTGAAGGTACACAAACATATTTGAGCAACACCGGGCGGGTTTTAACTGCTCCACATTTAGTCCACAAGCCGATGGGTGACGCCAGGTTCTCGTTTCTCTCTTAAAACCCTAAATCGCACATTTGCCTCAGAGGGTCTTACAATCTGTGCACATGAGACGTCTTCTGTCCCAGAAACCTCACATGTACACAGGAAAACCCACAGCTTCTTCCCAACTCAAAGTAAACAAGTTGTGTTCGTTAGTATTAATTCATCGCAGGAATCATGAATAAAGAGCAGGTCCTTTCTTCCAGCGTTTGGGGGTCGGTAAACATTAACGTGCAGAAGCACGATCAAAGTGGAGTTTCCATAAAATGTCCCCTTGAATGTTCATAAGAAGCCATACCTGGAGGGACCTAGGACCCAGGGGGGAGGGGGTGTGGCATGACGGAGCCTTGTGTGTATTTAAAAACACAACGTTGGTTACCAACGTCATAAACTAACATCTTATGTTGTATATCACATTATAACATTTATATCGCTAGATATTCAAGGGAATTCTACTACCAACACTTCAAAGTGAACTCCCGTTTCTCCCGCTGCCGGATCACCTCTCTCCATCCTGAATAACAAATATAATCTTCCTCGGGCCGCAATGCATGATGGGATATACTGGGCCCCAAAGGACGGCTCAGACGTGTCCTCTGAATCGAAGACTGGAACGCTGCATTTGTCGAGCGCATTAACGGAGCGGATGGAATGCGTCAGCTGCGTCGCAGCCAAAGTGAAGCAATCGGCCTACGAATGATGAGCAGCCGAAGAAACGAGACACAGCACACGAGATCCCCTCACTCAGAAGCTGCATCCTTGTGCCTTCTTTTCCCGTCGACTCAGTCCAGCCCAAAGAAATTACGACGTGGGAAACCGCGAGTTGCTGACGGTGGTTCTGGCTCTTCAGGAGTGGAGGCACTGGCTTGAAGGCTCCCAGCAAGGGTTTCTTATATGGACGGATCACAAGAACCTGGCTTACCTCCGCTCTGCCTGCCGACTCAATCCCCATCAAGCCCGCTGGTCGCTGTTCCTCAGCAGGTTCCATCACACGCTGCCCGATCGTCCAGGAAGCCGTGATGGGAAACCGGACTCTCTCTCGCGCATCTACTCACCCTCGAGTCCCCAGGATACAGATCCAGTCATTTCCTCCACCTGTGTGGTGGGGGCAGCATCGTGGGAGATCGAGTCGGTGGTTAAGGAGGCCCAGGAGGACGTTCTGGATCCTGGCGGTGGTACTCCTGCTCGTTTGTTCGTCCCTCCTGCAGTCCAGTCACAGGTCCATTCGTCTAAATTGACGTGCCATCCGGGAGCCCACTGTACCCTCATCTTTCTCCGCCATTGCTTCTGGTGGCCGGGGATGGCAAAAGAAGTTTGTGGCTGCCTGCTCTGTCTGTGCCAGGAGCAAAGCTTCACCATCGGCCTCCTGCTGGTCTGCTGCGTCCTTTACCCGTCCCCAGCCGTCCTTGGTCACACGTTGCCGTGGATTTCGCCACCGGGTTACCCCCATCCGAAGGCAACACAGTCATACTCACCATCATTGATCGTTTCTCCAAGCCTGTGCACTATGTTCCCCTCCCCAAATTACCCTCTGTCTTGGAAACTGCTGACCTTCTGACCAATCATGTGTTTAAGCTCCACGGGATTCCTATAGATATCGTGTCAGATCGCGGACCGCTGTTTGCGTCCCGTGTGTGGAGCGCTTTCTGTAAGGCGCAGCAGCCAGTCTCTCCTCTGGCTCTCATCCCCAGACAGATCGGGCTAATCAGGATCTCCTCAGGATCGTCCCCCGGTCTCCTGGAGCTCCTTCCTGCCCTGGATCGAGTACGCGCACAACTCCCTCTCGTGCTCCGCTACAGGTACGTCCCCATTCATGGCTTGTTACGGTTTCCGACCCCCGGCGTTCCCAGCCCAAGGAGGAGGAGGTGGGAGTTTCTTCGGTGGACGAGCATCTCCGGAGGGTTCGGGAGGTTTGGAGGAATGTGAAGGCGGCACTCACTCGCGCCGCCGAAAACAACAGCAGCGGCCGGCAGACCGACATCGCTCCCCTGCCCGAGGATGAGGAGGTCGGGCAGAAGCTGTGGTTTTCTTTGCGGGACCTTACACTTGAAACGGAGTCACGTAAGCTGGCGTCCCGTTATGTGGGTCCTTCCACCATTTCCAGAATAATGAACCCTTCCTCTGTCCGCAGATACATTCCATGTTTCCCTCCTTAAGCCTGTCTCCACCAGTGACCTCCGGCCGTCCTCCCTCCACCCCCCCAGCTCATCGATGATCACCCCGTGTGGACGTCAGGCCCAGAGGACGGGGTTGACAGTACCTGGTTGATTGGGAGGGATACGCTCCTGGATCTCCCAGATTCGGGGTGTGATCCAAGAGAGCGGTAGAACGTTTAGACTTGATAAGCAACAGGTTTGAAACTAATATACACGTCCATTCAAACGCAGATGGCGTTTCAGGAGCAATTTGGGGTTCAGTATCCAGCAGTCTGGGGATGAAACCTGCAAACTGCTGTTTAGTGGACGACTCTTCTACAAAATCTAGATTTTAACAACTCATTTTAAGCCATCGAACGATTACACACTAATAAAAACATCGGTTGTGACGGTTAGTTTCCAGATTGCAGTATATTCAAGACAGCATACATCAAAATTAGGGAAAATAAAGAGTTTAATGTTTTTCTCAACAGATACGATCTCCCAAACAGCACGGAGAAGCATTTTAAAGTACACAAAATATAACTTATCAACACAAACAAAATCTGAAAATTCAAACTGTAAGCAGAATTATTACTACATATTGTTCACACTCCAGAGACTTAAAGTGGAGAAAAACATAGATCAGACATTGCCTCCATCAGGAGAACATCAATATGAACCTGAGTTTGACATTTCTCAGAACAGTGTAAAAATATTAAACATATTAAATATTAAACGAATAAAGTGAATATTCTAAAGCTGTTGTGTCTTTGCTCTTTAGTGCTCGTCGCTCTTAAACGCGGCCTGAACGATCTGTGCGAGACAGTGTCCGAACTCCTCCAGCACCCGCAGCTCGCCCTGCAGCTCGCCCTGCACGCCGCCCCGGGCCTCGCCCTCCGCCTCCTCAGCCCTGGCCAGCAGGCAGCCGCACACGGCCTCCACCACGGCCGCAGTGATCACCGACTCAGGCGATCTGAGCGCACACGCGGGACGGGCGAGCCCCTTCCTGCGGCGACATACAAAGAGGTCACCGCTGCTGTCGCAGAGCAGGTGGTTCGTTTGCTTTGAGAGGAAGACGATTTCTGCGCTAAAGCGTTTAACAGAGATACATCCGGTGCTTGAATTGTTATATTGTCTTTGACACCAGTTTGAGAAGCCGCCGGACTCACCTGCTGCCGACGTCGGCGTTCTTCTCTCGGGGCGCCACGTCGGACGCCTCCTCGTAGTTTCTGCAGCCGAGACACTTGCAGCTGGAGGTGCACATGATGTTGGCCTGCGCGCGAACACACAACCGCACGACTCACTCATCACTACGTCATCCATTCAGTTTCTTTTGACCGTTCAGGTGTGAATACGATCAAGTGTCTTTTTGTTTGCTGCAACTGAACAACCGGGAAGTATGAAACAGAAATGAAATTGATGAGAATGTCGAATGACGTTCTATTTTAGGGTTGTGTGTGTGTGTGTGAACACCTCGTAGCACTCGCAGTAGTTCTTGAGGCAGCCGGAGCGTTTGCAGCAGCAGCCTTTGTCTCCTGCTTTCATCCCGCCGGTCG